GCCTTGAAAAATAGTAAAAAAAATGTATAAAAACAGTAATATAACATGACAGCTCATTCCATTGGCAAATCAATCACTTAATTTCAGAAATGTTGACTTATTTCTGGATCGTTTTTACAGTTTGGGGTGTTTCTTTTGTATTTTTCCAGGATCTGATCTCCTACATCTCCCTAAAAACTGTTTCCAGGTTATCTGGTCCTTCTGAGGAAACCCCTTCCAACAGCATGATGCCACCAGCACCAGGGATTTGAATGAAAAAATAACCTTAAGTCTCATTTAATTCAACCTTTTTTTCTACATGTTTTGTATTTTTTCCATAGCTGGCTTGAGACTTTTTTTTTTAATTAATTTATTTTTTTTGACAGTGGCTCATTTGTTCAACCATAGGCTGAAAGGAAAGGGTATGAGAGAGAGGGAGAGACATGCAGGAAAGAACCCCAGGCCAGATTCGAACCCACACCAAGGACTAAGGCCTCTGTACACGGGTCGTGCATTCTAAGCAGTGCAGCTTGAAGACTTGTAATGACTTTTAATATTGTTTCTATGAAGACTAGTTCTATTCTTCTCCTTTGGCTTTACATGTATGTTCACATATACATATAAATTATGGCTGAAACAAAACATCAGCCAAGTGGATGCAATTGAACCACCAAAAAAAAAGTGGATTTCCTTGTTGTGTGTTGGCAGTCAAGAAATTAACACAATTTATATCAAATTAATTTACAAAATTGAGAAAAACGCTCAAAGCATGATCACACTGTGTACTAACTTTTCATCTTATCTTACCTTATCTTATCTTAAAGAATAAAAGCTACTCCTCCCATACATATTTATCATATTTCTGCTTTTGCATTATCATGCTGTGTAGTCATTTCAGAAAACTGTTATTCTTGTTGCCTCACTGTGCATTAGTTAAGTTTGTTTTTGATCCAACTATTCTGTGTCTCCAAAGCAAAAAGTGACCCAGCGTGGCCCCAACAATGAGCAGAGTCCCTGACTTTATGTAGCAGTCAGTTCACGGCCAAAATGTGGCTAATGAAACGCGGAGGGAAACTCAATGTGTGAAAGATGGGATGTGATAAAAATAATACATAAGTGCTTTAATACGCTGCACTTACAGGGGATGTGTGAGCCACAGCAGCCTTGGAAGCACTGAGACACATTATGTATGGAGGCGGGGCAATGGCAGAACGGCTCCTGTGTCTGTTGGAAGGAGCATTATCACTATCACTGCAGCTTTATGTAATCCAGTAAGGAAGCATTTCCAGTATTGCTGACTGTTTTAGTCGTGAAACTGGGCCTCATAGCAAAGTTTCTTCACAAAGTCATTTTATTTATTTATTTATTTATTAATCTGAGTAGATTAGGATGGGTGGAGTCTGCAGCAAGTGAAGGTGATAGAGGGTTAAAGACTGTAACTCCAGCACTTAAAAGAACTATTAAGTGTTTTGCAAGTGAAATATGTAATACCGTTTCTACTGTGTGTATTTAAAGTATACGTGGTTAGTTTATTTATTAATTTTTTTGCAGGGATAAGGTACCATCCAGTGTATTTCAAACAAAAAAAACAAAAAAACAGTATGGCAATTGCCATACTGCTCCACTTGTGAAAGTAAAATCTGTTGGGCTCTTTTTGGCATCAAGACAATTATTCTTATTGCCACATTGCCAGACAGGACACTGTAAAAAAATAAAAAAATAAAAAATAATATAAGAAAAAACTATTGCATTGTCTTATTTCAAGGGCATTATATCTAATTATCTTACTTTAGGATTAAATATACTCATTCCATTGGCAAATCGTCTTATTTACCTACTGAAATTAACGGCAAATACACTTAGTTTTTAGAAATTTTTTTCTAATTTCTCTATTGTTTTTGCAGTGTAACCCTTTGAATTTATTTATATTTTTTCTGACTACAACCATCCAAGCCCAAGGTGGCTTGGGACTATTTTATCCAAGTCTATTCTTCCTCTGGGTTCTGCTTTTTGACTTTGGTGAGCAAAACACCCCTATTGGTGTTTGCACCATTTACTAACTTAGCTGCTGTTTACCACTCACCCCCCAAAAACCCCAAATTAATAAATAAAAAGAAAAAAAACGAAAGGAAGACGGTTTGCAGTCGCAGCAGATTCAGCCTTATGTCTGCTAGAAAGTTTTTTGGTAGTGGTTGTGGGCGTGAAAGCAGGGAGGATCCATCACACTCACCTTCCCACTCACCCATGATGGGGATGAAGTCTGGAGGAGAATAGACTGTTTCCTCCTGTGAACCTCATTTTATACCAAATACCTTTTATACCAAATACCAATACACCATTATACAGTACCTGGAAGTTAGAAACACGTTCAGCGGTTATCTGCAACACATTAGCTACATACATTGATATGCACTGGAGAGAAATTCTTCATAAGTTACCCTTAAGTTATGCACAAGTTACTCATAGGATTCAGATAAGCTAGATGTAATGACTTATGAGTAACTTACTCTCACTGGAAAAAAATGGAAATCTAGATAAGTTATTTTTTCCTAAAATAAGTGCATTTGTTCTTGGATTGAGCAGGTGCAAGAGACATTTTGCCAATTGAACAGGACAATTTACATTTAAAATAAGAAAACACAATTGCATTGTCTTATTTCAAGCGCATTTTATCTAAATTTCTTCTTTTAAGAGTAAAAATACTCATTCCATTGGCAAAGCATTTCATTTACCCACTCAAATTAAGAGTAAATACACTTAATATAAGAGATTTTTAGTTATTTTACTAACCCTAACCCTATCCTTTTTACAATGCTTAATGTATGTCAATGATCAGATACTTACCCGTAACTTATGGCCCATGTTTGAGCATACGTCCGGAATTGTTTAGCGTACTTCAGTGTGCTCATAACTTATACAAAAACATAACCATAAATTATCCAACGTATGTCAGCTTTTCTTTCTAGATTTTTCGTACGTCTGTCAGGATTTGGTTTTAAGGTTTTTGTTAGGACCCAAAATCAGAAGCTGAGAGGCAGGGGTGAGATCTTGGAAGGTTTAATGAAAAATCAGGCAGCAAAAACAGGAATCCAAAAATCCAACTTAAAAATGTAAATCAAAACAGAAATCCAAAAAAAACCAACACAAGAATTGAACACTAACCAGGACCATGGAAACATCAGGAGAAAAAGTCATGAGGAGCCAGGGTAGGATGAAATAAGACGGGGAACCAGCAAAGGGGGACTGCAGAGGGAGAGTGTTTATGGCTGACTGAACAAAGGAAGGACTAACGAGCTGATAAGGAGCAGGTGTGACTAGAGCTGATGAAGAAGCCAAGGGAAAAGAAAACACAAGGGGCAACAGAGGACAGACAGAAAAACCTAAGAAACTTAAATGAATCCAGACACCAATAAAGCTAGAAAACAAGGAAAAACCTGGATGAACTTGAAACTGGAAACTTAGAGAAAAACAACAGAACCAAGATCGTTACAACGTCAGGCTAAATCGTCAAGGTGTGACAGGGGCTTCAAAATAAAAGCGTCTGAATGCATATAGATGCAACACCTGTTTGATTGTTATTAGAAAAATAATCATGAGCCATTTAGCTACTTTCTTCATCCTCCACTATTAGACCAGGCTATTTGTCTTTACGTCCCTTGTGTATATTAATCCCCTGTTAAACTAAAGTTTTTTTTAGATTGATATAAAAATACTCACAAAAGCTGAATAAAATATTTAGCTAATTTCTATGTTTTCTTTATACTGTAGTGAAATATGACAATAAGTTAACATTTCTTAAAAATGATATGATATTAAGCACTTGAAATACAATAATTTTTTTTCTTATGTTATGCATAAATCATCATATTCCATTGCAAAATTATCTTACCTACCTGCTCAAAAGAAAAACTTATTTATTTCAAGATAAATTGAAAAAATATTAGATAGATATTCCATGTTTTATTATATTTACTTGATAAAAACAGGTGTTAATATTTAAACACACTACTGTTGTTTTAACGGACCAGCATTTTCTAAAAATGGTGGTTTAAGAGATGTTTTTCTCACTACTGTGTGTGTTTGTATAAATCCAGGACAGGAGAAAGTAAAATTGTCCAAAAGTGGATTATTTCCATGGGTTTACTTGGGAATTATCAAGTGATCTTTAAGTTTGACAAGTGGCAGGTGGAAATCTCTGCAAATGCCTCAGAGATACCCTCATCTCCACCACCTCGCTGCCGAAGAACAGACAGTCTGTCCTCTGTCAAGGTTTTAGTGCGGCGAGATGTGTGTTTCTCTCCCTCCTCCTCCTCTTTTCCTCCTTTTTCCTAATGAAATAATTGCATTCCTCTCTTTTTTCCTCCCCCGTCTCTCCTTGCTGCTCTGCTTAAATCGACACTTGGCCAGATTCTCCGGTGCAGCAGAAGCTGAGTCATAAAGGTTTCAGTGGCCTGATTTATGGACAGTGATGTGGAAGAGGGTGTCGGTTGGAGGGTGGGGGGTGGCGGTGGGTGAAACAGGGGGAAAAAAACCACTGGCATCAGCTTACTGATCACAAAGACGTATGTCAGCACAGCAACCATCTGCTGACTTCAGATGAAGACAGAAGAAACTAAAACATGTAGAAATCAGTTTGTTTTATACTGATTTCTGGAAATGAATGTCTGCTAAACCTGTTTCATCTTTAATGCACTGACTGACTTGCTGACTGAACTATTCTGCTTCCTCCCTTTCAGCTCCAGTATATCAATAAGGAACCCAGCAAAGGTCTTCCGCCCAGCATTTACGCTCCTATTTTCCGCATTAACCTCCATTAACTTTCTGCTGAAAACGAGGCATGTTGTTTTAAGGTCAGAATGAAGAGACATCTCCAGGCTAAAAAAAATGCATGAAAAATCTTCTTTCTTGTTTGTGAGTAATGCAGCTGGTTATGCATTTTCTCTGTGTGGTAAAGGTGATTTAAATTGACAAATTGCAGCCACTGGTTTATATGAGTGTGAAATGAAAGGCAGAGAGGCATCTTCTGGTCGACCAGGCTTTATTGAACTTAAATGCAACAGATTTTGAGACTCTAAGCACTCAGAGGAGTTTAGGTAAGGCATTTTTTAACTGCAGGTTGCGTCTTAAGACAGCTGGATAAGCACATTTTGGTGAGAGTTAAAGCACCGGTTTGCAGATTCTGCTCCTGACATCTACTTTATTAATTTAGCTGTAAACATGGGCATACATGCTGTTAGTAAAACTGCAGACCTCAGTGACCCAGACTACAGAGTTCAGCAGGTTTGCATCTTTTTTTAACGAGGTATTGCTGCAAATTGAGCTCCAGAAATCTTTGGTTTTGTCTAGGCTTTCTTCTCGGTTGTTTTTGCAGTTTTCTCTTCACTTTCCACCTCTTCAGCTTTTTTTTCACCCTCTTCCTCCTCCTTTACACTTTCTCCATCATCTTTTTGCTCAGGTTCTTCTTCCTCTTGAGGTTGGCTTTCTTCTCCTCCGTCTTCCTCGTGTTTTTCATCTTCACCCTCCTCTTCATCGCCCTCTTGCTCTGTGAGAACAGTTGAGGCTAATTAACATTTTTTAATATACATATTTTTATTTTTTTATTTTACTTTTTCAAATTGTATTATTATTTTTCTTTATTTTTTATTTTCTATTATTTCTTTATTATTTTTAAGTTAAAAAAAGTAAAAAAAAAATGTTCTATTCATTTTCAATTAGGTAAACTTGTGAAACTGACCTCCTTCTGCTTCCTCTTCTCCCTCTTCTTTTTCTACGCCTTCCTCTCCCTCTTCTTCCTCATCCCCCTCAGCCTTTTCTTGTTCCTCCTCCTTCTCATCTGCTCCTTCTTCCTCTCCTCCCTCTCCCTCCTCCTCTTCCACCTGGTCTTCCTCCTCCTCTTGAGGAGGGCTGGCCTCCGCCTGTTGGGCCTGGCTGGCGGTTATCGCATCCTCGCTGTAGAGCGACGGAGAGTACAAGCGCGAGCTCAGCATGTAAGGAGCGGCAGAGCTCAGCAGAGACTGCCTGGAGACCTGGGCTTGTCTGTAAACTGGAGCGGAGGCCATGCTCTGGGAGTAATGGGTGAAAGATGCTGGTTTTGGCACATTTAAGCGATTCTCCTCCCCTTCAAGAAGCTTCCTGATGTAATGAGACAGGAAGTGCCAAAAAAAACATTACGTTTGACAGTTACAATACCGTGCATTGAAATTCCACAACAAACTATGCGTTAAGCAATTACCGATATGCTGCGATCTCAATATCCAATGCCATCTTTACATTCAGGAGGTCTTGATAATCTTTTAGGTAGCGGGCCATGTCATTCTTGTTTCCCCTCAACTCCTCCTCCAGTTGACTTATGGTTTCCTGCAAAAAGAGAAAGTCTAGCTGAAGCTCATCAGATTCTTACAATCTGTTTACACTCTGCTCTGCTTCTCTTCTTTTAGTGCTCATGTCATTTACCTGCAGTGCAGAGATCTCTGCACTCTGTTTCTCTTCCACCTCTTGCAGCTGATTTTCCATCGACTGGATCATCTCCCGACATGCATCGATCTCCAGGGTTCGGTCTTTGAGCAGTCGACGGTACTCCCCGGCTTCGTCTTTGGCGCTGCGTGCGTTCTCTGTGCTGCGTGAGGAGCCCACGGTCATCACGCTCATCTTGTTGCAGAACCAATCTTCAGCCGCTTGCAGGTTGCGTTGAGCCATCGTCTCGTACTGGCTGCGGATGTCACGGAGAGCTGTGGACAGGTCTGGCTTGGAGACCTCCATCCCCACTGCCACATCCACGCTGTATTGAATTTGGGCCTGCAGCTCGGCAATCTCGCTTTCGCAGAGGCGCTTCAGGAAGGCCAACTCGTCCAGGAGGGTGCCGACCCTTTTCTCCAGCTCGGCCTGGCCCAGAGCGGCTTCATCTGCTCCCTTCCTGTCATCCATGAGCCGTCCCTCTGCTTCCTCTCTACCGAGGACTTCGTCCTCGTAGCGTTTCTGCAGGTTCTTCAGGACATCCTCCATCTCGTCTCTATGGTCCTGTGCCACTTGCTTCTCATGGCGGGCCTCTTCAACAGCGGCATTGAGTTGGCGGATCTCATGCTCATACAGGGCCCGAAGATTGGATGGCTCTGCCTGCCTCTGCCTGAGCAGCAGCAGCTCCGTCTCCAGCAGCTTGTTCTGCTGCTCCAGCTCATGGACCCTATCTATGAAGCTTGCAAAGCGGTCATTGAGGTCCTGAAGCTCAGCCTTCTCCTGGGTTCTCAGCTGTTTAAACTCAGAGCTAACCTGGACTGCTTGCTCAAGGCGGAGCTCAGCTGAAGCGGCAGTAGGAAGGATGGATGAGTAGCTGGAAGGAGCTCTGGTGGATGTTTGATAACTTCTGCGTGAAGACGCATAGGAGGGCATTGGGGCGGAGTGTGTCGAGTAAGCAGACCTGGATCCAATCCCTCCTGCAGCTCCATATCCTGCATTGCGTACCACCACTCTCCTCTTGTAGGTAGAAGGGAAATAATGGTCAAAGCCAGTGGAAGTCATGATGTCGGAGATATGCCGCTTCGTGCCAGTGAAGGTAGCTGCGTCGTCTGCAAAGTGAATCTGCATTACTCTTGCTTTTATAGAGCCCATAATGACTGTGACGTCAACTTTCTTTCCTTTTTTTTTTTTCCCTCAATGCTGACAGAAAGAATTGATCATGGTCTTTGCCAGCCAGCAGAACAGGGGAGGGGTGTGTTTGTGGGTAGATGAGGCGGGGATAAGTAACGATGGAGCAAAATGGGCTGCAACAGACAGGGTCACTGCGGACATTAGCAGTCTACTGTTACTCCTGAAAAATGCAGAGGAAGCTACAGTTTGACTGCATAAATCCATAGGAAAACATCAGCCTATTTGTCAACATTAAAAACTATCAGTTTGCATTTTACATTATGGAAAATAATCAGAATCAGAAATACTTTAATAATCCCAGAGGGAAATTACTTTTGTTACACGCTCCAGTTACAGTTTTATATAATATATACACACATCCAACTATACAATATAATAAAGATAAAAAATAAGAATAAAAAGAGATAAAATATATACACATATAGCTCTTCTGTATAAAAGAGGAAGCTTGGGAATCAAATATATGGGAAGAAAGAAAAGAAAGAAAGAAAGAAAGATAGAAAGAAAGAAAGAAAGAAAGAAAGAAAGAAAGAAAGAAAGAAAGAAAGAAAGAAAGAAAGAAAGAAAGAAAGAAAGAAAGAAAGAAAGAAAGAAAGAAAGAAAGAAAGAAAGAAAGAAAGAAAGAACAAATTTACACGCCGCCCTCTAGCGGTCATATGATGGACATGCAGCTCAAACCCGTCAAAATACACATTTCATGTAAAAAACAAAACAAAACAAAACTTGAGAGATAGAGGAATATTTTTAATAGTGTCATTAATTGATTTACTGATATGTGAACAATTGATCAGCTTTTAATTTCATTTAATCTAATTCATTTTAATATTTGAGAATTTTTTTTTTGGAAACTTGACATCCAGTGGCGTAAATCCTCAGTTACAGTAGTAGCCATTCAAAATATCCCCACTTTTCTTGATGGGCCCTTATCTGCTCCCCTACAATTCCCTTTTGAAACATCAATCTTTGTACTAAAATATTCTTTCTGTCATGATTTGTGGACATTAAGATCTAAAGAGAAGCTTTATCTCCTGGTCAGACCCTGTAATTCAGTGAAAGGGTGGAGTCAGAGAAAACAATATGGAAGAGTGGGTCACTCCAGTGGCTGGGAGTTCGAGAGGATATTGCTGGGAGTTGCAGGGAAGTGGGCTGACATTCAGCAAGGGCCGTTTTGAATGGCTGCTTCTGTATGCTGGATAGATAATTTCCTTCAGATTACCTGCAACAGGAGGAGTTTTGAAGTTCAAAAATAAATCAAGTGTGTTTTAATATTCGTCACATGATCTGATGAGACTGCATTCTTAATTAATTCCTACTTTATTCAAGCAGCTAAATTCATAGATATCAATTCACTGTCATTTTAAAGATTTCTCCCTGTGTGGGACAATAGCTTTTTTGAATGTCATAAATAAAAAAATGTATTATATTTTTTGTGGTTGTTTTTTGTGGTCCTGCATTGAGTGGGAGCACCTCTTAAGTCAACTGGAGAATAAGCAGGAGAGTGATGACAAAACAGAGTAGGAGGAGCTCTAGTTTTAAATGGAGGTAAATATTTTTTTCTAAAGGTGACAATCCATGTGTGAGGGACCGAGCCAGTCAAGCATGAGGACACAGTGGTGATTGTCAAGAAAACTGGGTTTTATTTCCCCATAGTAACAGTAATCCAAACAAAAATTTCAGGGCCCTTAAAAGAGGTCAAATGAAAGGACTAACTAAGGGCAAAAAACATCAAGTTCAAACATATCAAACCTCAAACTAACTGAACAAATAAAACTGACCTGACATAACTGAACAGTTAGCTTACGGATTAAACTTAAATGACAATTAAACAAATTAACAAAATGAGCAAATCACAAAAGTAAGAAGAAGAAATTATGCAACATATTTAAAATGTTGAGTCCATGGTTTTCCCCCATAGTGGAACTCCAGATGGTACCACCCAATCAGTCCATGATCATGTCAGCCACATTCTCCTAGTTGATGGCAGAATATATTAAGCATTTGACAAAATTAAATATACAAAAGTTAACCAAATGTGCGCGCTACAATTGGAACTAATGTCTTCAATATTGTCAAAATAAACAAACCAATATATTTATGCTACTGTGTATTAAAACTTATGAAAAAGTGGTTGTGTGTGGGGTTACTGACCATGTGACCATCACACCATGATTAAGTTTTCAATTATATATAATATCATATCATCAGTTCAATTCAGTTTATTAAATAAAGGACTATTTTTACAACATGTGTCATCTCAAGACATTCTGATTCTGCAGACACCATTCAATCACAAAATACAGTCAGATTTGTAAAAAGTGCCAATCTGAAAAAAAACAGGTGATTGCATTGAGTCATTGACTTGAAGAACACCCGTCCTGGAGGAGCTTGCGATGATGACCTTCTCCTGACCTTTATCATTGACTCAACAACAATCCCTCACACTAAGGATGCATGCAGAGATAGTGGAGAAAAAAACTCCCTCTTAACAGGAAGAACCTAACATACAGTTAGACACAGTAAAATATGAGCCACTAGCTATATGTCTAGCAGAGAAACAGGACTAAGCACTGAAAAAAACCCTGACACAGCCAAAAAGAAACAAACCAGATAACGCTGTTATCGCGAGAAAATCAGGCAGAATATAAAGTTATAGGTTAAAGTAACAAAAGAAGAGGATAAAGATAAAATGGAGGAGGATGATGAATAGTGGTCCCTGTGTCCTCTAGCACGCTAAGCCTATAGCAGCATAAATATAGAAAATAGCTTAGGGCAACCTACACATATTGGATGATGTATGAGAAAGGTAGAGCCAAGGCTGAACGTATGTCTATAATATGATATAACACAATACATTCCAGTACAATATATGTATGCATATAACTCCTACCTGCCTCCGCCATCATGCATGGATATATTCATGGTTATTTTTTGGTGTTTATAATGAGCCTCTAAAGTGGGTTTACATGTTCTCCCTATTCATGCATCGCCTATTAATCATTTTCCTCCCCCCCCCCCCCCCCCCCCCCCCCCCCCCCCCCCCAACGAATCACACTCTCCTTTGTAGGGACAACTTTTAATTTTAGTCAAGAATTTAAATGTGTGTTCCGGCTGTGACATAAATGCTCTGTTCGAATTCATGGGATGCATCCTCAGAAGGCCAGATTCGAAGGATGATTACGTCATAGAGCGGCGTCACGCCCTTCAAATGCGTCCTTCTTTTCGCCTGATTTGAAGGACGGGTACGATGTATCCTCCGTATCCTTGGATATCCCAGGATTCATTGCGAGACCAAGCAAGCCGGCTGCTCAGTGATCAGAGGAAATGGTACTTAGCGCCAAACAGTGGAGAATATTGGAAGTTCAGTTTAATAAAACAAGTTTGAATAGTTCCGTCAGAAATTAATGAAAATATTTGATTGAACGGTTATTGAGTCAGATATGTAGCAGATAATGCTTGATTTATCTAAAGTTTTTTATCTCTTACTGTATAAATGTGTTTGGCCGTAATTTAAGGACAGATTCTAGTATATCTGCATGGTGGGGACTATAAATCTGATAGGATTTTTATTTTTTCATTGTTATTTAGCACAATTTGCTTAACTAATTATTTTTTGTTGTTGAACATTTGAGATTTTGCAGATATATTTTATATACATACATGGTTTAGATTTACTTATATCTTTCTTTTACTTTAATAGAATAGAATAAAATAGAATAGAAAATGTCGTTATTGTCCCACAATGTGCTCACACAAATGTGGACCTTAGAAAAATGTATGAGAATAACATAATAGGGAATAGTAAAAAAATAAACAATAAAATACTGTCAAGTGTTTTAACAATATAAAACTGTGCACCTTGAGAATAAATAACCAATGTCCAGCTATGGACATTTTTACAGTCGTGGATATTTGAAAATAGCAGCAACATCAAAGATGTGCAAAATGACAGCAGCATGTTTTTTTAAATAAGGTTTATGTCATTATATTTGCTTTTATTTTTTCACACTCCTGGTTGCTTCCTCTATTACACTCTGGATTCTCACGACTCACGAGTTTAGTCTTTGTTCATTTTACAATAAAAAAATTTATATAATAAAAATCAGAACAAAAAAATTTAAATAATTAAAAAGAGACAGCTAAGAAAACTTCTTTTCCTGCTTTATGTGTCAACTATCACGGTTTCTAAACGAACCATAGCAATCCGCCGTACCGGCTGACAAATGGTGCGGACCCGCTTTCCTGTTGTTTATGTCGCTTCACTTGTATTGAAGCACGTCATTGGTCGCCTGCATACACCCAGATGTCTGGACCAATGAGGGAGCGGTTTACTAATTGGCGGGTAGCAAACGTCTTCTCCTGCTGCAAACGTCTCTGGTCAATGACTTAACAGCAACAAAGGATGATCAACAAATTGAATTTCTTAATTTATGTCTGAGCTTTAATCGCTACCCCATCAGAGTTTTAAGTCCCACTGAGGCATCCGTAATCCGAAGCTGTGGCCTGGAAGGTGATGGAGGGTAAGTTACAGAGGTTAGGAAAAAAAAAAGGTGGTTGCTCTGAGACTAAAGCTAATGCTAGCTAACATGATTTGTTTCTGAACAAATAGCGAATTTAGAACAAAGGTAGAGCTTTATATGATATAAATAAAAGTCATGTAGTCTGAGCTAATGAGCAGTAATGAATTAATTACCCATAGTTCCTTTGGGTTCCGACCCGCGGTGTTATTCGGCTAACAGGCTGGTTGGAGGAGCAGTTAGCTAAAGTTAGCATCCTCCTGCTTTTTACTGCTGTTTATGTTTTTAAACTGCAGTTTATGTTTGTGTATCTTATTTCTCGGACTCGGAGACTAACAGAGGCAGTTAAAATGATGAATAAAAACAACAAATAGTGAACTAGCATGAGTGAGACTGTTCTTCTTTTTTTCACTTTATTACTATAACAAACCAATAGTGTACAAAGACTGA